GAGTAAAATCTCCGCTTCTAAAAGTGGTCCCAGTTTCGATTGCCAATATGGCGTCAGAGACAACCCACACTTTCCGCTTTGTGACGTCAGCGTCTGCGCAATGCTCGCCTTGCAGCAAATTCATTATTGTAAGTCTAAACTCCGTGAGCAAATTGTAGAAAATGGGAAAACGAGTTTGTATAGTTTTTAATTGCCGAAATGGGCTGGAATGTATGAAAAAGCAAAACAAAGAAAATGGAATTAAGAATAAAAGTCTTTTTAGAGCACCTAAAGTACGTAAGAAAATGAACACAGCCTAAAAGTGGACCCAATTTCGATTGCCAATATGGCGTCAGAGACAACCCACACTTTCCGCTCAGCGTCTGCGCAATGCTCGCCTTGCAGCAAATTCATTATTGTAAGTCTAAACTCCGTGAGCAAATTGTAGAAAATGGGAAAACGCGTTTGTATAGTTTTTAATTGCCGAAATGGGCTGGAATGTATGAAAAAGCAAAACAAAGAAAATGGAATTAAGAATAAAAGTCTTTTTAGAGCACCTAAAGTACGTAAGAAAATACTCATTACATTTTATAAGGTTATGTGCAACATTTATGATTATTCATTTCATTATTAGGACAAAAAATTGTTGGATCGTTGGACTGCAAATTTAGGTCAGTTGAAGAGACCACTTACTGAACATAGTTTTGTTTGTGAGGAACATTTCAGCATCGAAGATGTTTTTCGTTCAAACGATGTTTTATTGAGTGATGGTACAGTACATCGTACTGAAAGAATAATACCGAAATTGAGACAAAATGCTATTCCGATAGTTGGCAAGAATTATTCAGAAAAGAAGTCCAATGCTGAACATGAATCTTTTGTAGCAGATACGGCAAATTTGATCAGTGAAGGTTATGATGATATAAGTATAGAAATACCGTCCTTATTCGATAACGTTACTCCTCAAAGAAACGATCAAGATTGCGAGCAAGATGTAGAATATACCGAAAATAGGTTGTAAAGCTGATGAACATGTTTTAACTGTATCAATCGTTAAATTTTATTTAATAATGCGAATGCATTTTGCTTGCACTAGATTTAATGAGATAAATAAAAAAAACCGGGAAAAAACAAAAATACTTAGGAAACAATCTAAATTGTAGTTTTACAATGCTTTATTATATAAAATAAATTGTTATTTTTATTATATAAAATAAACTGTTATTTTTATTATATAAAATAAACTGTTATTTTTATTATATAAAATAAACTGTTATTCTTAACACCCAGTTCATTATTCCGTTTTTTGATGCATTCTAGTTTGTTTTGGCAATTAAAAACTACACAAATGCGTTTTATTATTTTCTACAATCATTATTTGATCGAAAAATTGTCGTCTGCTGCAAGGCGAGCATTGCGCAGATGCTGACGTCACAAACCGGAAAGTGTGGGTCGTCTCTGACGCCATATTGGCAATCGAAACTGGGTCCACTTTTCAGGCGATCGGCCTATGGAGATTTTACTCCTTTTTAATACTCCGTGCATAGAACAAGTCGGAATCGATTCCGATCGAAATTATTCAATTATTCCCTAGATTTCTATTGTGTTTTCTAGGGAAAACGGAATAATTCCGATCGGAATCCATTCCGACATATTTCATGATAGGTACCCTGGTCTAAAGGCTTAGGACACTCGCATGGAATGCAAGAGATCCGGGTTCGACTCTCGGCCGAGACAATATTTTTCATAATATAAGTTTATTACAGTTTTCTAAGATTAAATTTGGGAAATTTGGGGGGATTATTAATATTTCAGATCAATATATTGCGTTGAAAGTCCGACAACCATATCGGCACGTAATTATAATTTCTGAAATTAATTCATTTAAATGAATATAGATAATAGTTCAACATCTTAACATTCAGACCGTAGCACAGTGGGCCAGAAAACCCGAAAACTGGCCAAAAGTCGAATTTAAAATTTACTGTAATCAATATTTCATGTGTCATAAGAATATCTCAGAGAACATATAAATAAACTGTACAATAAGGTTTTGGTAACAGGTTTCGAGGAATAGCCGCTTGATTACAAAATACAGGTGATAATTTCAGACCTATCTTTAAAATAAAAAACATTAAAACTATGAATATAAACTTTATAAATTAAATGTTTGAAAATCGTATTTGTTTTAAAAATGGACACACACACAAATAAAATAATGCTATATACATTTATTTACTTTAAATATTAGCACTATTTTCTGTGGCAGAGCTATTTACGCGAATATTTTTGATTTAAATAGATTATGACTTAACACAAATCCATCGTGCCGACCTGTGCGGCCTCGGAATTGATTTTTTTTTATCATGTTTTGTTCGTATGAATATGGTTGACGAGAACAAGTTGTCACTTTTTGCCATTTTTGCTCGTTACTAAAGATATGTATTTATTTTCCCACTACTACACGGTAGGCCAAAAGACTCGAATAAGTGACCAAAAATCCATTTACTCCAGAATTTTGATAAAATTATGAAAAATTATGGTCATGTACGGTTCTTCGGATCGCTGATTTCGAATTTGATGTCAGAATTGCACAATTCAAAATGGCGGATTCAAAATAGCGAACAATTTTCTACAATAATTGTCTAATTTTTGTGAAATTCAGTAGTATATATCGATTTTTTAATTCTTTTATTTTAAAATTTGAATGTAGTTAAACATTTTTGAAAATTGATTAATTAATTATTATTCAAACATAATTATAAATCTTCATCATACTGCTCTTCATTAGTCAAATGACCGTATCATGCAAACTTTCGTAAAAATTTGTAAGGCCGCTTGAGTCATTTTCTTTCTCGGTCTCGTTTGATTGAGAAAAGAAAAAAATGTTCTCGTCTCGCAACAATAGAAGATGTATTTAACAGAACTATGAATACTTCTGATCCCATTATATCTACACTTAACCTTAATTCGCGAATTCAGAAAAGGCAGCACAAAGCTATCCCCAAAGAAGTAATCCACTTACTTGACATTTTTAAGTTCGACCAGTCAATGGATTTTCTTTCTGAATCAAATTAGAGACCTAGAAAAACTCTAAATCAAATGAAACCGAGAAAAAAGATGACTCAAGCGACCTTACAAATTTTTACGAAAGTTTACATGATACGGAGTTGACTAATGAAGAGCAGTGTGATGAAGGAGATTTGTAATTACGCTTGAATACTAATTAACCAGTTAAAAAAATGTTAAAAATATAAAAATGATAAAACTAAAATACAAAAAAAATTAAAAAATAAAATACAAAAAAAGTAAAAATAAAAAAAACAACAAAATGGAGTTAATATCAGCCACATCCTCGATTCATGACTCTGGGTATGGCAAAGAGCGGTAGTAATTTAAATTTACAAGTTGGAACTTTTTTCTCCAAATTTTATCAAATGTTTACTTTGAAGTTAGCCATATTGGATCCGTCATCTGTAATTTAAAAAATTGTAATGTCTAAAGACCATGGGACATAAAAAAACTTAAGGCGTAAGACTTAAGTAGTAAGCGAATCGACCAATCACAATAGAGACCGTAAGACCATACGTAACCAATAGCGAATCCAACATGTTGATTTCGTTACTGCTTAAGTCTTACGTTTTAAGCTTTTCTATGTACCAAGGTCTTAACTCGTAATCAACGACGCTGAGAAAAAATTTTCATAAAAAATTTACTGGTTTTTGCATTTTCGGTTCGCCATTTTGAATCCGCCATTTTGAATTATAAAATTCTGACATCAGATTCGGAATTAGCGATGCAAAAAACCGTTATATATTTAATTTCATAAAAATTAGGTGATTATTATAGAAAATCGGCCGCCATTTTGGATCCGCCATTTTGAATCCTAAATTCTGAGTTCGGATTCGAAATCAGCGACTCTAAAAACTCCTGAATATCAAATTTAACAGCAATTGAAGCATTTTTAGCATTCTCGTTTGCCATGTTGGATCCGCCATTTTGAATTTCTAAATTTTGAGTTTGAATTCGAAATCAATAACCCCAAAAACCCTTAGAAATCGAGTTTTATGCCAATCCATAAACATTTTGAATTTTGACCAATATTTCGGGTCATCTGGCCCATTGTGCGTAGTGGTGCTTCGTATTTAAAGTAAAATTTTTACAGTTCTCCAGATGCTTATTAGCTTCAAAAATTAATAAATTGCTTGGCAATTTGATACGTGATATTATTATTCTAATTCTGTTTACAAGATTGCATTTTGAGACCAAAAAAGGTTTCGCGTGATTTACAGAATTGAATATGTATACATATAAATTCACTTTAAAATATTTATGCACTAACATCCGCTTTGATCGAAAATAGGTTTATTCCTTTTAATTGAATAATTATTTGTAATTTTTTTTTAAACTTATAAAAAATAATACTATTTTTAATCGGCAATCAAAAAGAAATCATTTTTTGAATGCGACTTTTTTCATAATTCGTTCATAGTTTAAAGATTTTTTCAATTCGTTCATCCGTTTTTATAAATTCGACTTTCCGTCATTTTGAATTCGAAATTGTTGGAGGACTTATATTTCAAGATTAATAATCCTAAAAATTTTCAGTTTTCACTTTTGTGCGACAAAAATAAGGTTTCACAACGATTGGAGTCCTATGTCCGGGTTTTGCTATGTTTCGACCCACTGTACCGCGCCTACGAGTACCCCCCGCGACCCGCGCCCTCTAGTCCCACGAGTTAGAACTGGCCCTATATTTCTACTTTTGCACCGTCTGCGATTACCGTTTGTTTCGATCTTAACAGAACTCCCTTAATGGAGTAAACATGATTTCAAAAGAGGCATGCGAAAATCATTTATCTCAGTTTTTTGTATCGAGAAATCACAGAAGTTTTACATTGATGGAATAATGGCTCTACCTGAAAAATAGCAAAAAGTCATCAGATTAAAACGGCACATATTTGGTTTAATAAAAAGTTTGTAAACAATTTAAAAAATATGTTTCAATTATGCTCCAATTTAAAGACTTTTTCCCTAACCCTATTCTGAGCTATTTGTTGTATATAAACAGAATTATTTTATAAAGTATAATTAAATAATATTTATCCCCATGATATTTCCAAGATATTCACATTTGTAATTGTAATTTCATTGTTATAATCTTATTACTAAACAGAAATAAACGTTCCTGAAAACTTCAATATAAGTTAAAACATTTCTATATTGACATTAACTTCTTGACCTGATTATCATATATATATATTAAAAAAAATTTTATTCAATTCTTACACACTTTAATAAGTAATTCATACTAAATAGTTAATTTTTTTTAATTTTAACTATTTTTTCAACATATACGAGTACATTATTATGTACATCAGATCTCAGATGAGGTGGATAAATTAAATACTATGTCTTCAAATTTGATATACACACATTACAATGTACGTAGGGTCTGAAGGGATTAATGCACATAATTCACGTAGAATTTTTGAACTAAAAAAATTTGCTCATCCACGAGCAATGTGCCGATGAGAATAGGTAGGTACGTAGAATCGATGTTTCAAACGTGAGCTATATGCAGTGGAATCTATGAATAATAGACAGTATACAGTCCGCTCAATAACGATATTAGAATCTAGACAGAAATTTAATTAATATTTCTTGATTTTGTCTCCCTAAGAGTTTTCTCACAATATCTTTAAGTATAGATACATTTGTCATTTATATATGAGTAACACTCAATCTCATGAAAGATTTAAAGAAAGCCTAACACATTTTTTTCATATTTTATCATTTCATTTGTCGTAAAATATTGATAACGTTTGTTTAAAAAATCGGTATATGATTGACGGAGCGTTTTTAGAAACAAGGACTTTTATTATTTATATATGAATAATGTGTATATAAAATAGTAGTCACAAGTAAAATAACAGGTAACGATAATGATTATTATAAATATAATCACTTTATTCTATAATGATTATTGATAGTCACTTTTAATCAGTCACGATTAATTCA